GAGAGAGAGAGAGAGAGAGAGAGAGAGAGAGAGAGAGAGAGAGAGAGAGAGAGAGAGAGAGAGAGAGAGAGTAGTCTGTGAAGAAAAAACGGCGTTCATGTGAATTAATAAAGGAACGTGTGTGTGTGAAGAAAGAAAGATATGTTTGTGAATAAACGGAGGAGAACGTGAGTTTGTGTGCGCGCGTATGTGAGCACGAACAGTGCGTGGGTACGATGTATGTGTGTATCACACACACACACACACACACACACACACACACAGAGAGAGAGAGAGAGAGAGAGAGAGAGAGAGAGAGAGAGAGAGAGAGAGAGAGAGAGAGAGAAGGCGAAGGTATGGGCGGGAATGGGGGTTGGCGATGGGGGCTGGAGGAGTTTCAAAGAAGAAGCCTGTATGTTTAAAAGCAAACTGTATTATGCCTGGGTTCTCATGGGTGTAGGATGGTGGCACGTGGGTCGTGTACACCGATCATCTGTTCGCGTCAAAGCGCGCTCCGCCCCCATTCTCTCATTATAGACCGCGCGCGCCTGCGCGGGAGCCTCTGCATCAGTGGGGGAATGGCAAGGATGGGAGTTTTGAGTGCCAATTCCACGTCTGTGAAACGCGCGCAGGCGGAGTGACACCTGTCTCGCGCGCTATTTCGTCGCTGCAGCGTGTTTTCTTGAGCGGAAGACGTGCGAGCGAGAGGCGAGAGGCTGTTGTGCTGATGCGATTGTGTGCGTGGCGAGGAGGTAGTGTTCATGTCGCTGTCTGGGTGGCTGTCGTGTGGGTGGCCTTTTTACCTCCACACAGAGATGTATCAGTTTGTGTCTTCTCCCTCCGCGGCAGGAGGCGGTGTCTATGTATTGATCACAGTGATGTAATACTAGTAAGTACTTGAGCTTTTCTGACTGATGATGGGCGGCTTTGTCTTCTCTGCAGCATCGTCTTTTTCAAACAACGCCAACCTCACGGGCACCCAGAATGGAATCAGAAGCTGCCGGAGCTAGTCAGACAGCTGGAGAGTGCGCTCTACGACGATGCAGCCTCAAAGGTTAGTATCCCAAGTTTCGGTCTCAGCGTGACTTGTTGGAAACCCGCGCGCGCTCTCTTTACCCCCTCTCTCCCTCTCTCTCCCTCTCTCTTGTTCTCTCTCCCTCGCTCTCCGTCTCTCGCACGTTCCCTGCCTGACCATTTCTCTCTTTTCCCACCAGGATGCAGTAGCCTGGAAAGGTAAGCATGTATTGGTCTCGCGGACACTCAAATTGAAGCGCTGTGCTCACTTTTTTCCCCTCCTCTCCCGCGCTGTATGCTCCCTCGCCCCCGCCCTGTGCAGTTCCGGGTACTATCTTCCATCATGAGCGGTTCTCCTCTTTTCTCTCTCAGTTCTTATCATCCGACCTAGACGGTGTGCTGCTCTCCTCCCCCCCCCCCCCCCCCCCCTGTTCTTCTCTTCTTCTACCTATTCCTCTCTTCCTGAGGTCTCCGCCGTGCTTCGTTGCCTCTTTTCGTCGTATATCTTTTAGCGTGTTTGCGCACGCGCCCGAGGGAGCATGGCCGATGATTAGCCGGCGGAGGGGGGAAGCCGCGAAGCATCGGGGAGTGTTCTTCAGAGCTCGCAGCATTGGCGGGAGGAGAAATTCACTGGCAGGCGAGGGGTGGTTTGCAATCATGATGGATTTGGGATGGGGGGGTGCCCTTCTCCCGCCTCGGACGAGGCACTTGTAATGCCGGGGCGGCTCATGTGCGACAATGGGCGGATTGCGCGACAGTGGAAGGTGGCAGATTGATCGGCATTCTTTTCAAGAACAAAGCTTTCAGCCGTTTCCACGTGAAGTTCATATACTCCAGCACTGAAGAGTATGCGGTCGAGACTCGGGAGGAGATGGGTAGTAGATCTCAAGAGGTGGTCTGTCGCGCTCGCCTCTTTGGAAGTGTCATCTGACGCGTCTGATGTCTAATGGGGGAGGAGGGGCGTGAGCGTGGGGATGGGGGCCAGATAGAGCGTGGGGATTGGATGCATCCTTATCTCGGCCGGTGTTATGAAGACAAACAGTTGGTCTGGGCTGGGCAAGAGAGAGAGAGAGAGAGAGAGAGAGAGAGAGAGAGAGAGAGAGAGAGAGAGAGAGAGAGAGAGAGAGAGAGAGAGAGA